AAGAAACATCATGCGAGCAAACTCAAGGCCATAAGCTGCCTGTAAGAGGCAAGGCCAGCTGGTATTGCAGAAAAGCTCAGATAACAATGAGGCTATACAGAACTTAAGCAATGATTAAAGAAGGCTAAATATAAAAGAACACTTTAAACAATACTGTAATTCACCACTCTATAAACAGGTGCAACTTTAAAGCATTAAATATGACAACCTACCCTAACAGAATGGGTTGGGTTTAGCTGCCATCATGAGAGTAGGCTGATCTTGGAACCCTGCACCCTCTTGCCCACAGTTCCTTGTAGCTGGCTGATGACTGTGTTGAGCTGCTCCAAAATGCTTCCCTGTGTAGAACAACCCATCCCAACACGACTGTGTTGCCTATGCAGGTGTCTGCATGCACTGAAAGTCGGTTGGCAAGTGCGCAAGCCAGGTGCTACGGAGGAGGACAAAGCCTACGCCTTATTCTTGTCCCATGACATCAGTATGCTGCGCCTCTTCAAAACCTTCCTGGAGGCTGCCCCCCAGCTCACATTTGTGCTCTACGTCATTCTACAAACAAACAAGATAGAGCTTTTCCAAGGTGAGTGGCTTTGCTGGCCTTCCTTATGAGAGCCCACTTTATGGGCTGACAGGATGGTGGCATGATCCCTTGAACTCCTGCTCCTAAAGAAAATAGGAGTGAAGCCTCACTCTTCACAGCTGCCTCAGCCAGGTTGGGGATATGGGGAGGGAGGGGTGCAGTGGGGAGGGAAGCTGCCCAGTGCTTCTGCTGAGATGGATGGGGGCCCCTGTCACTTTTGAGCAGTGGAGTGTCATTACCCCCTCCAGCTCTGTAGACATCTGTAGGTTCCTCTGGCCTCTGGGTTTGGGGATGCATGACAGAGATGTGGAAATATTTTCAGTCTTACTTTTTGGCTGAAGAAACAGCCTTGTAAGTGAATTGCCTCTTCCTGCCCCATTGAATCAGTCCATAGGGCCCTGTAACCATCTCTCATCCTTCTGGGGATTTGAAAGGGAAATAAATACCGTTAGGCCTCTCGCTCTGTGCCTCAGACACTCCTCTGGCTGGTTCTTATGGGTGAAATGGAGAAGCTACTGTGCTGGGAGGAAGGAGACTCTGGCTATGGAAAAACACCCTATGCTTTCACCAGAACGTAAGGCAGGCATGGGCAAAATATGGCCCGTGGGCTGGATCCAGCCTGCCAGGCCATTCTGTCTGGCCCACAGGGTCCCTCCAAGAGACAGTTATTACCAGCCCAGGGCTGCCACTCTGAAAGCCGGTGGGAGGTGAACTTTCAGAGGTTGCGCACCATTGGACTGGGTGGACTCTGTGCTTCCACCTCCATGGTGCTTCCACCTTCCACTCCATCTGGGAGCCCCGTGCGGAGACACCGAGTGTAATGGTGCATGACTCGACAGGTGGTGAGTGGGGAGGGGACCTCCTACTTGCCACAGTGGAGGGTGGGGGTAGTAGGGGGTGCTCCTGGCCTTGGGGTGCGCCTGGCCTCCTGAAGGTAGAGGTCCTCAGTGGTGCACAGCTGTGGCTGCATCCCGGGAGCTGCATGTGGTGGCATGGAGCTTGCCTAGCCCAGTCCACTGGTACACACCTTTGAACCAGACCAAGCTGGCTCTGTGCTAGCACTTGGGGCTCCTGGCATTGCAGGCAGGAGCCATGTGTCATCAGACCAGGCTGAGCCAGACCAGCAACCTCTGTGCCTCTGTGTGGGGCTTTGAGCACTCCAGTGGGGAGCTGCACATGGCGGCACAGAGCTCACCTGGTGCGTGGCTCCCGGTCCGTGTGGCATCAGGCCAGGCAGGCTCCGTGCCTCCACGTGTGGCTCCCCACTAGAGTGCTGGAAGCCCTGTGTGGAGGCACGGAGCTGGCCCGGCCCGGCTTGATGGTGCACAGCTCCTGCCTGCCTGCAGTGCTGGGAGCCCCAAGTGCTGGCTTGGAGCCAGCACAGTTTGGTTTGAAGGCACATGCCAGCAGGTCAGGTTGGACTGGCTCTGTGTCATCATATGCAGCTCCTGTGATTCGGCTGGAGCTGCATGCCACGGGGGGCTCTGCCTGCTATGGGCAGGAGTACCTTGAGGGCCTGCTGCTGCTGTTGCAACTGGGGGGAGGGGAAGGGAAGGGAAGGGAGATGTGTGGTGGGAGGGGGCCCACACCCACCCACAAACCTCACCTCCAACCTTCACACCCACCCACACAGACTCCCATACCTACAGCTCAGACTCCCATACCTACATCAACCCCCACACCCACCCACACAGACTCCCATACCTACAACCCTGGCATAATTGCCCACCCCTGGCATAGGCCCAATTACTCCCATCTAGCTGTACTGATGATTGTGGGAGGGACTAGCAGTGTGGGAAGGGTCCCGTCAGTAAGGTGGAGCTCTTAACAAGGGTTGGGCAATAAGAGAATCATACCAGAGCCCTGTACTGAGCCCAGACACTATTCAGTAGGAAAAGGGGTGCACTGAGCCCACAGACCTGTGTCTGTGGCAGGGAGTGGTTTGGCAGCTCTCTGCCTATGTGGCCTTGTGGGATTGCTAGCTGGAACAGGCTCTGTGGCATAGCTCTTAGAATCTGATCGACTCTCAGCACCTCTCTGCACAGTACTATTTCCTGTGTGATTCAGGTCCACCCCGTGAGCTGAGCACTTCCTATTTCAGAGGGACCTCGGAAATGTTTAGAAAGTAGCACAGGGCAGGCTGGCTTCCTGTTAGCAACCTGCCTGCAAGGGAATAAGAAATGGCAGATGTGACCAGAGTGATGGCATCTTCCCTACCTGGCAGAGCAGGAAAAGAGAGCTGGACAGGGAGCAGGGGATACTTCTGTGCTGACCCTTTGAGGCATTGTGCTCTGTTTGTCACTGGAGGGGCCTGAGTAGAGTGATGCCTGGCCAGGAGAAGAGACTCTGTTTGGGATGGGGCCAGTTTCAGTCTCTGATCACATTCTCCAGGGGAAGTCCAAAGCCTGAACTACTGCCTGATTTCCTGCCTGTCCCTCTTCACCCTCTTTCCCACTATGTTTATAGGGTTTGGGATTTGCACCGCCTTCCTGTGTGTGGCATGGTCCCTGCTGGATTATCACCAGTCCCTGCGATGCTTCCTGCGGGAGAAACACAGACTGGGCCTGCTCTCCTCCTTTGTCTATTTCACGTGGAACTTCTTCCTCATCTGTCCCCGCATCCTCTCGGTTGCCCTCTTCGCCACGCTCTTCCCACACTTCATTGCCCTGCACGTCCTGAGTGTTTGGGCTGTGATGGTTCTCTGGGTCTGGCTGCAAAATACGAACTTCATGGACCCCCCTGGCTTGGAGTGGTTTTACAGGGCAACTGTGGGTGTGATACTGTATTTCTGCTGGTTTAACGTGGCTAAAGGGAGGACAATACACCGCAGTGTTATCTATCACATCTTCATCCTGGTGGACTGTGTACTGCTTGTTGCGTTCTGGGCTTGGTACAATTCCCCTTTGGGTGAGCATTTGTACCTGTGCTACGTGCTTCCTGCTGCCCTAGCCTGTTATTTTCTTGGGCTTCTGCTGAAAGTCATCTACTACAAATACTTGCATCCCACCGTACAGAGCCAGTACGATGAAGTGGACACTGGTGAAAGTGTCAGCACTGTCGAGTTCCGACATGGCCGAGCACCTGCCGCTGTGAACGAACGGATGTACCAACTGGTGCAGAGCCACTTTGCAGCGTCTTCGTTGGCTGGGCAAAGCTTGGCAAATGGAGTGGAGGCGGATGTTTAACTTTGATCCAGTTGTCCCTGCTCCACTGGAGATTTCTGCCTTGGGAGTCTACTTTAAATGTGTAGGGGAGACCCTATTCCAGGTCTTGCTCCAGCCAGTTCCTTCTCAGCTTCACGTGCTATTTTTCCAAGGGAACTGGCACAAAGCTGGGAGGGGTGGTAGCTGTGTTGAGGGATTTGCCACAGCTGGGCTTGCAAAAAGGCCACATCCTGCTCCAAGTTGGTACTCTGCCAGGGACAGATATTTAAAACAGCTATAAAGTATGCTGTGCTGTTGAACCTGAATGGCCCACTGGTGGATATGAGAGGCAGTGAGCAAGTTAAAATCTTTATTGTTATTTGTTAGACAGTTCTCAAGTTCCTCCTCAGACCCACAGTAGGGAACTCTTCTGGGCCATTTTATTTAGGCAGCATGCTAGCCTCATGGCCTCACTTTGCAGGTTGTCCCCTCCACCTCCCATTTCCTCACCAGCCTCCCCTTTATCCGAGCAGTGGTAACTGGGTTGACTTTTTCTTCTTGGCAGGACATGGACAGGAACTGTTGGATTTCCCATTTGCATTTGGGTTTCCCACTCTGTCATTTTGCCAGGGGAGGGTTGGGCTCATGTGCCAAATATCTTGGCCTCAGTTGTGAGGGTTATTTGATTTGTGCTTGTACTGTACCACATTAGATCTAACTAAATATGTCATGGTAACAGAATGCACTATCCCATAAGCACAGTGTGGAGAAGTGGATGAATTCAAACCATGTCCCACCTTGTTGACTTGTGCCGATTTACTACACTACCTGGTGGCCTTCAAGTTCATCACAATGGTGATGATATCACCTTAAGATGGTTGAAGCAATATGCCACAACTACATATGCTAAATAAATAAATTAATGTGGAGTGAACCGCAGTGTTTCCATTGAAACAAGGGAAGTGGGTGGAGAACTTGTGACCAGATGAGGCTACTCAGAGCTGAGAAAGCCCCTGGTCCTTTTCAAAGCAAAGATTAAAGCTCCTTCAAATATTGATTTGTTGTTACCAAAAAAAATCACTGGGCTTGGCCCTGCCAAGTCCTCTGCTACTGCAATGTATTAGTAAGCTGCTCTGTGGAAATTAGGAAGTGCTATAGGTTTATCCTGCTATGGAAGCCATGCCCTGGCTGTGGTCAATCCTTGAAGAGGAGGAGCAGGGGGGTTCCTGGTCTGCTGCAGTTTCCAAATTGAGAGGCTATTTGAAGAGACACACATACCTGAGACCACTTCTCTGAAGCTCTGACTTTTACCTGGACTAACTCCTACCGCTTTAGGTAGCATCCTTGATGTTTGTTTCTCAGTGTAATGAGCTGGAAGGGAGTTGAAGTTCTGCCCTGACCTAGCACTTGTACTGCCAGTTTCAGAGGCTGAAAATTAGCCATTTGTAAAGGGCCTGTCATCACTGGGGTTCTGGCTTTTGCTTGACAGCTGCATGATTCGACACAGTCTCTAATCCCATTCTCATGAAAAAACTAGGGGACTGTGGTGTTGACACCTACACAGTCAAATGGGTCGCCAACTGGCTGGAGGGCTGCACCCAGAGAGTGGTGGTGGACAAGTCATTTTTGACTTGGAGGGGTGTGGGCAGTGCGGTCCCCCAGGGCTCAGTCCTCAGGCCCGCACTGTTCACCATCTTCATCAGTGACTTGGACGAGGGGGTAAAAAGCACCCTGTTCAAATTTGCTGACAACACTAAGATGTGGGAGGATGTGGGCAAGCTAGACGGGAGGGATAGGCTGCAATCGGACCTAGACAGGTTACAGTGGTGGGCAGATGAGACTAGGATGGGATTCAACACTGACAAGTGCAAGGTGCTGCACCTGGGGAGGAAGAACCAGCACCATACCTACAGGCTGGGGAACTCCCTTCTCATCAGTACAGAGGCAGAAAACGATCTTGGAGTCATCATTGATGCCAAGATGAACATGGGCCAACAGTGTGGGGACGCGGTCAGGAAGGCCAAGCACACCTTGTCATGCATCCACAGATGCAGCTCAAGCAGGTCGGAGGAGGTGATCCTCCCCCTCTATGCGGCACTGGTCAGGCCGCAGCTGGAGTACTGCGTCCAGTTCTGGGCGCCGCACTTCAAGAGGGATGTGGACAACATGGAGAGGGTCGAGAGGAGGGCCACTCGCGTGATCAGGGGGCAGCAGAGCAGGCCCTACGAGGAGAGGCTACGGGACCTGAACCTATTCAGCCTCCACAAGAGAAGGCTGAGGGGGGATCTAGTGGCCTGTTACAAACTAGTCAGAGGGGACCAGCAGGCACTGGGGAAGTCCCTGTTCCCCCGAGCTCTACCAGGAGTGACTAGAAATAACGGTCACAAGCTGGCAGAGGGTAGATTCAGATTAGACACCAGGAGGTGCGACTTCATGGTCAGGGCGGCTAGGATCTGGAACCAACTTCCAAGGGAAGTGGTGCTGGCTCCTACCCTGGGGGTCTTTAAGAGGAGGCTAGATGAACAACTTGCTGGGGTCGTTTGACCCCAGAAATCTTTCCTGCCATGGCAGGGGGTCGGACTCGATGATCTGCTCAGGTCCCTTCCAACCCTACAAACTATGAAACTATGATCCCTGGGGTATCAGTCCGACCTCCAACTTAATGGTGAGGCACTAAGCATTTAGCTAGCATACAGCTGCTGAGCTGTTTGTTTTTTTTAAAAAAATGCATTTTATTCAAGAGTTAAAACACATGTAGTAACTTTTCCACAGGTAGGTGGAAGCAAAATTGTGGTGGTTGTGGATCACACCTATTTAGATGGGAAGCTCTGCCTCAGGAGTCCCTAAGAAGCCTTATTCAATTCTCTATCCTCAAACATCTTGTTGAAACCATCCCTACCACAGATTCACAAGGGGCAGACCTCTGGCTTCAAGACACTGGCTCTTCATCCCTGGCTTCCCCAGCAATCTGTAGCACCCCTTGCCTCAGGAGCTGCTTTGCTTAGCTCCTGGGAAGGGGGAGGGGGATCCGAGTGCTGCATCTCAAATAGTGCAGCAGACCACTCAGCTCCAAATGGTCTTTACTGTGCTGCTGCAACCTGGTCCAAATGAAAAATCATGGCCAGTCCTTTATTACCAGAGATATGTACCCCATTTCTATACCCTAGCAGCTCCCATTACTGAGCTGTACTAGAAGGGAAAGCCAGACAAAGTGATCTGGACTACAGAATGCCAGAGAGCTTTTTGCTTCCTAAAGGAAGCCTTAAGCAAAGACCCCATTTTAGCGCATCTGAACTTTGATAAATCCTTTGTGGTTTACACCAATGCCTCAGAAATGTAGGCAGATGTCACAGAGAAAGAAGAGAGAGACCCTTGCTTCCCAGGGAGAAAAACCACATCAATGAAAAGGAATGTATGACCATTGCATGGACTCTCAAGATGTTACAGCCCTATCTGTCTGGGAAACTGTTCATGATGTACACAGCTCATTCACTACTGGTCTGGTTAAATCAGCTGAAAGGTACCAGTGCCAAACTGCTAAGATGGTGGCTACAGGCTTGTTGCTGCACAACAGATGTGCCAGAGCCCTAAGGGCTTGTAGTAGAGATGATATCTTTTATTATTAGATATCATCCCTACGAGCCCTGATTGCTTTTTCCTCTAGACCAATATGGCTACAACCTGGACACCAGAGCCCTAAGGTGTGCACACACCTCTGGCAGAAAGGAATTCAGTCTGCTTAGAGATGAGGTTGGGTGCAAGTGTGTTCACAGCCTGCTAGGAAAAGTGCAGTCTATTCTGCCTTTAATAGGGTCTTCCAAGACTCTCTCATACTTGTATCACATGGCTTCCTTCTGCACTGTGAAAAGCACCAAATGTGTGAGAACAAGCCAGGCTGAATATTCCACCAACATGAGCCTGCAGTACAGAGAAGTCTTCGAAGGCCTGTTAAAGACCACTTTATCACTTACAAAGTGACGTTCAAAGGCCAGAGGGCTGCCCTCCATCATTTAGGCAGAGGGTGTCAAAATAACATGCATCAGAAGTCTTATTGGGTACTGTGATGACTAGGTTAGAAACGTAGGATATTGGCCCTTCTAGAAATTAAGAGGCAACAAAAAAGCAATTCTGCAATTTGGGAGGAAGTGGGGAGCTCAAGAACACAGTGCATGAGAGCTGCCAGTGGCTTTATAACTCTGGCAGAGCAAAAAAGTGTAAATGACTTTCAGCAATAAAAAGCTGTATAAATGTCAGCAGCTGGGGTGCCTTCAGCCAGCAGCGGAGAGAGACTAGGAATGCACCCAGTGACCTGGTTTGCGTAACTGCTTTATTACCGTATTTAAAATTAAATGATTAGCCTTCAAAACAGTCTTGCAAACAGCTCCAGACTGATAACTATGCTGCAACTAAACTTTCTATTAATGGTCAACCATATCTCGGCTCTGAGTGACCCCGTGATGGCAGTCAGAAGCTGAAGACTGGCTCAGTGGTGCTGGCTGCTTTTTTACATGAGAAGCTAGAAATATGTTAATAGGTATTAGTAACAGGACTAGCACAAGCTTATATGGGACTCAGGGAATGGCTGTTCTACACAAACATCAACCTTCACTTGGTCCTATATCCCAGGCATTTGGGCCCATTTCTTGTTCTGTTTGTACAGCACCAAACATAAGCTTGATCACAGATGTCTGGGAATAGGACTGGGCCCACAGATATGTTATGCTCTTGAATGAACTTGAACCATTTGTTTGTTCCTGAGGTTTTAGTATTGTCACCGTGATGGTCCAGATAATCTGCGAGAAGCAAGATTTGTTTAGTAATACCCTTTACTGGACTAATGATATAGATGGGAGAAATGTTGAATAAGTTCTTGAGCACAAAAAGCCCTTCCTCAGGTTCCTAGAGAAGTGTTTTAAAACTGAAATCCAGACTGGAAAGTGAAGCTGGACTAATTCAGGCTAGGAGGATAATTAGCCACTGGAACACTAACCAAAGAGGGTGGTGCTGGGGATTTCCTATACTTGGCAATTATTAAAATCACAACTGGATGCTTTGCTAAAAGAGAAGCTGGAATTTGACAAGGAATTAATGTAGGAAGCCTTATGGTCTGTGTTATAGTAGCAATCAGAATGGCCCCTTTTAGCCTTAAAATCTGCAAACACTGGAAAATTTGGGCAGAATCCCCAATTGGAAATAAGAACAAAGTACAGGAGTGGGACTTTCTGTAAGGGGGACACTGTGCAAAGAGTAATGTGGAAACCCAGCTTTGTGTGCAATTGTGCACCTGAGACATGTATAGGACATGTAACATGGCACCTAGCCACAGTGGTCTGCACAGTACTTTGTAACAAAATAATTCTATGATGGCTACTGAAAGTGCAGTCACACCAGAGGGGCAGATGCCAGAGGGGAAACGGTAGTAATTTGCCTGTATATTAATAGGAAAAGCGTTAACATAATATTGAGAGAAAGAGCGAGCATGTACACAAGGAACTCCAAGTTCACATAATTTTGGGGGGTGTAGGTACTGCTGTTTCGTGCTGCTAAAGCCATTCAGGTTGGTAAAACTAGCACAAAGCATGTAAATACATTGCTAATACCCCTGAAGTCCCTCCCCTCCCCTCCTGCAGCTTTGTTATGATGACAGACCTTCCCCGTAGAGGCAGGCCCTGATCCTTCGGTCTAGAAGGCAAGCAGTGCATTGTTGGCAGAGGCAGGGAAAGCTCTGGGGTTCTGGAGTCCTACAGGCCTCAACTCCACCTCGACTGTTCTGGACCATCCCTGGCAGCATCCCTGAAAGTCATATGCTAGGAAAACACCCTCTTTGCCTCTAGGTGTAAGCGAGACCATATATCCTCAGGCATATCATAGCAAATGTTCTAGGCTGTTAAATGCTTCATTGCCTTTTCTTGAGCAGCGCTGGGAAGATCTCTT